CTGCGCAAACGAATTGTCAGGAGGAGGAAGAAAAGAGAAAAGAGGCGGAAAAAGAGGAGAAGGAGGAGGAGGAGGAACGGGAGGAGGAGGAGGAGGAAGAGAAGGAGGAGGAGGAGGAGGTGGAGGAGGAACAGGAGGAAAAGGAGGAACAGCAACAGCATAAACAATATCGATATGTGTGAATTTATTCGGCCTCTTTTGAGCTCCAGGATATCTGTGAGGCCTCTGGGGCGCCTCGAAAGACCTCCTGGGACTTTTACAAAATCCTGGAGACCTTAGGGGGATGGGGGGGAGGAGGAGGAAGAGGAGGAGGAGGAGGAGGAGGAGGAGAGGAGGAGAGAGGAGGAGGAGGAGGAGGAGGAGGAAAAGGAGGAGGAGGAGGGGAAGGAGGAGGAGGTGGAGGAGGACATGGACAACGAACACAAGGACAAGGACAAGGTGCTTGGGGAGATGAATCCAGTCCGAACGAAGGCTCGGGAGATCTTCGGGCCCCCCTGCGACTTTATACGCAGGCACGGCCAATTTCGGGGTCAGCTCACAGGAGCGGCTGAACGCCCCATTGGGCCCTGGGCCGGCGAGAATAAAAAGGGGCAGGGGCGGTCCCTGGCCAGGCGTTGCAGGCGAGGAGCCCCAGGAGGGTCCAACAGCAAAAGGGGGGGAGGGAAGGGGGCAGCGGCGGCGCCGACAGTGGCAGCGGTCGGTCGGACGCAGGCTGGGACGCTCGGTCGTGCTCTGTTAGTGGCAGCGGAGAGGAGAGGGGGGGAAGGCGCGCTCAGGGCGCTCGTCGGCGTCAGCGCGCGCGTTGGGCACTCGAACGTGCCGTTCGCCGCTCTCTTTCCCCTCCTCCTCCTCCTTCCCTCTCCCTCTCTAGTACACTCGCAAACGAATTAGATTTGGGGATGTACATAATGCTTGACGCTGGTAACACTGGCGCTGTAGTCCTTCTCGTTTCGTTAGGTGATGGTCGTCTTTACCCGTCTCGTGTCATCGCATGCGCAGCATTGTGGTATGGTAGTAATCACGACCAGATATTGTGACGTCCCGCTGAGATAAGCGCAGCCTGTACTTTAGTGCCCACCGTACTTACCAGCTGGGCCTGGAGTCGGAGGCCTGGGGTCGGTGGGTCTAGAGTGGGTGTTTCCGCGCAGCAGCCTGTTCTTGCTCCTGCGCAGAGTCGCAGCTGCTGCTGTTCCCCTGCTTCTCCTGGCCCCTCCTCTAAGCGATGTTATTCGCCGGGGTCCTGGCCTCCGAGATCGCCTGGGAATGCGCGACGACATTGCTGTCCTCGCGCCAGCCCGGCTGCTTCCACGCCTCTGGGTCACCCTTGTCGAGCTTGCCGCGTTCGATCCAGCCCTTGTGCTCCCGCGTGGTCGGGCCGTTCTCGTCCATCTCGATCCATCCAAGCTTCTCTCGCGTCGCCGGAATATGCAACTCGATCTCGGTCCAGCCCTTCTCCTTCCACGTGGGCGGATCACTCTCCTGCCAGCCCAGCTGCCTCCACGCCTTCGGGCCATTCATGTCGAACTTGTCGCAGTCGGCCGACTTGATCTGATATTTCCTCTTCTCCTTGGACTTGTATAAGGTATTCTTGATCAGCTTCTAGTTGGCTATCTCGTCGGGCAGACGCTGATGTGCTCCTCGTGGTTCGGGGGCGTCTTTGGTAGGTGGCTGCCCATATTCAATTGCGACTGCGCTTTCATTAATTGAAGATGCTTTGCTCGATGCCTCTGACCTCCTCTGCACGCGCGATCTCCGTCTCCAGCCTGGCCGCCCTCTCCGCGCCATCGCGCGCCGTGCCCAGCGCGGCCCTCGCGACGCTGACCTCCGGGGCCCCCTCGCCTCGAGCGCAGCTCCTCTATCTCGTTGTCGAATGTGGAGATCGCGCCGCCCGTGTATCTCGCAGCTTCCTGCATGTTCTCTTTGCGACGTTGATCGCGCGCGCGTTGTCGCCCACCTCCTGCTGCTCGCGCCCCCCTGGGTGCACCGCTGGCCCCTGGCCCCGCCGCGGCGGGCAAACTTGGCTTGGCCATCCGCCCTGGCGCCTGTCCATGGTCGGGCCGTCGAGCGCGCGGCGCGCGAACAGCTTGGGCGCGCGCGCCGATGCGCCCGGCTAGAGCCCGATCGCCGCGCACTCTAACATCTGGGCGACTGCTGTCGTTGTCGCCTCTGCGCGCAACTTCCTTCCCCAATCACTCGTCGAATTAATTATATTATTGCGCCCCTCCCCCCCGCCCCATCTGCGGGCGGTGGCGCCGCGGCTGGCGTCGGGCGCGGCGGGGGCCCAAATCTCTCGAGACTGCTCGCGTCTCCCTTGGGGCCCCTTGCAGGGGCGCCCGACGAGTTCCTCTGACTTAACTTGCGCGCTGCCTCTGTTGGTCGCCGCGCCGCGTAGTCGTTGGGCGCGCCGCCCCATCGGGGGCCCGCAGTCATTCCATCCTTTCCACTGGCCGCGCCGTCGCGTAGCGCCCCGTATTTCGCGCGCCCCAAATCTCGCCGCTGAGCCCCCCCCCATCTCTGCGCCCGCGGTCCGCCGCCGCTGGCAACGCCCTCTGCTCGCCTCCTCCGCCCCCGTGGAAACTGAAAGAAACAAACACGCGGCGCGCAGCGAAGGCCCTTGCTGCGCCTTGGCCCCCCCGCTCCACGCGGCGCCCCCCGCTGTCGCCGTCGCGATTGCGGTCGCTGTTTCCCGGGCCCTCTGCGCCCGCGCAGTCTGGCAGGGGGGCTGGGATCTGCTGTCGCCTGGATCGAAAATCCTGGTAGTCGGCGCGGGCCCTTGCAGATCTTCGGCTTGCTACCCCCTGTCTCGGACCGGGGGCCGGGCGGCGCTGGCCCTGCCCCCCCCCGCTCTACCGTTGGTCTAGTTGGAAGAGAGAGACGGGCTGGCTCCGCGCATCTGGGGGTGGCGCGAGGAACTGGGCGAGCCCCGTGGGCGCCCTCCTTGCAGCGGCGCCGGTGCTGCTTCAGGTTCCTCTCGCAGGTCTTCTCCAGCTCCGTCTCGGCGCCGTCGCAATTCGCCTTCCCCCCGCGTCGCGCTTGCAGGCCGCGGCCAACCGGCCGCTTCCAGCAATGGCGGCTGGATTAAATGCGCCCCCCTGATCATTCGAATGGAAATTCGACTACAACATAGAGACTGCTCATAATTGCACGGGAGAAGCACATGCTGTTTTTCCTTGGTTCGGGGGAATGGGGGCGCGCGCGAATTGCGCGTTCAAACAAGGTGGGCTCGCGATTCCGACCTTGGCCCATGGCCTTCGGGCGTCGCGGCGCAAAAACACGAACGACGCCGATTTTGACCGAGGTTTAGCCCATGCGTCGCATGGAATGCAAGCGCGAATGCGTTTGACGGAAGCCGCGCAGAAGGCGCGCCCATTGCGACGCCATCAACTTAAAAAGGAAGGACCATGACGAATGCGACAACCATGCGCAACTGCAGGTACCGCAAGATAGGTGCACATCGAAAGCAAGCAAGAATTCCCGCTGGGGCCGACGGCGAACTGCCCGATGGGGCGACGGAACACGTGAGAAGCCAGAGTGTGCATGTGGTAAGAGGTCGGCGCATGGCGGCTTTCAAATGCAGCGATCCTTTCGGTGGGGCCTTCCATGGCGCCGCGACGCGAGCGAGGGGCGCGCCGTGGCGGGGCGGGGGCGGGCGCGCCATCGTTTTCCATGGGGCCTTCGGCGGTGCCCCCACGGTGCCGCGGAGCACGCGCGGGCCGCGCAAAAATGCAGGCAGTGCGCATGGGGGTTTTCCTACTGAGGCCTTTGGTGGAGCTCGCTTTGGAGTCGCGGAACGCGCGGGGCGCGCGCCGCAGCGCGCGCGTGCGCGGTGGCCACGGCGCGCGCGCGAAAACACGCGCGCGCGCTGCGGAGCGGAAGCCGCGCTGACTTCGAGTTGCGCGCCCAGCGCTGCGAAACCACGCGGCGGGAGAAAGGGGGGCGGCGGTGCCCCGGATCGCGCCTCCGCCGCAGCATCTGCCCCCGCTGGCTCGCGACGGCACGGGCGACATGCATGTCGGCGCAGAGAACGCATAGTCGCGCCGCCCGCCCCCCCCCTGTCGCTGGCGATTTAGCGCGGGAGCTCTTGCAACTTCCATTTATGGTCATGGCGCTACTATATCCACTGCCCTTCGCAGCGGACCAACGCGCCCAGCGACATTCCGTCTCCCTGCGCAGGCAGAACGCGGCGGCGGCGCTGCGGCGCCCGCGCGTTCTACCTGCACATTAAACGTTAAACGTCGCGCATAAATAATCCCGCCGGAAGTGTCGCGGAGGGCGCGACAGCGCGGAGTAATGTAGTCGCGCGGTGTACAAGTGCGGGGTATATGTGTAGTGGATTAGTGTAGTGTGTTCGTGTACTGTACATGTATTAGCGTGGTGTATTGCATTATAGTGCGCATCTTATCGGCATGCATTTCCCCAACATAATTTAGTCCAGCTGATGGGCCCCGCGTGAACACCTAATTTTGTATGGAATATGCACACTATCAGAATGATGCTGCTCCTGCTGACGCTGCTGCTGCCCCCCCCCCCGCCCCCTCCACCTCGACCGGCTTTCATGTCAACCGCCTCCTCCCGACGTCGCCGCGGTTGAAACCTTGCCCCCCGCTCACTCCTCTTCCTCCTCCTCCCCCTCCTCCTCCTGCTCCTCCTCCTCATCATCATCATTATCATCGCCCACCTCCTCCTGGCCCCCCCTCCTCCTCCTCCTCCACCCCCTCCCACCCCCTCTCCTCGCCCTCCCCCTCGTCGCCCTCCTCCTCCTCCTCATCATCGCGTCTCCCCCTCCCCCCTTCCTCCTCCGCCTTCAGCAGCGTTCATTTCAACCGCGTCCCCCTGACGGCGCCGCGGTTGAAATCCCCGCGCCCCCTCCCCCCCCCCCCCCTCCCCCCCCTAAACCTCGCCCCCCCCCCCCCCCCCCCCCCCCCCTGCCGCCGCCATGGGGCCACTCGGCGCGCGCGGGCTCGTGCGGAATACACCTCAGGGGCATCATCCTCGTCGTC